CAACCGCAGGAACATGTGTTCACGCACACGCTTCTATACTCATTTGCCAACGCTCGCACATATCTATTTATGTATGTGTACGCACACATTTAAACGCATTATCCACCAGCTTTGGCACGCCATAACAACTAGGAAGCGCATGAACATACATCTAAGCATAACCTGCAGTAAAAAGGAGCCTCACCTGGTACGCACCACCAAACGTCACAAAATGTTACCAGTAGTGGTCTGATAATATATATTAAAAAAATTTAAATTATTTATCTATTTTAAGAATTAATTAATTTCTTTGTGTAAAATTATATATATTTTTTAATATTTATTGTATACTTTTTATTTTATTTTGAAGTGTTTTAAATTATTTAATTTAATTTTATTATATGTTATTTTATTTCATTTTACTTTATTTAATTTTAGTTTATTTTGTTTTAAATTGTTTTACCTTATATTATTTTTGTTTGTTTTTTTTTTCTTTATTGCATTTTGGTTTATTTTAATCCGTTTTATTTTATTTGATTTTATTTTATTTTTTATTTGTTATTATGTTATTTTACTATATTTCATTTTGCTTTATTTTATTTAAAATTCTCATATACATTTTTGTTTATTTTTTTTTCTTAATTGCATTTTTATTATTTTATTTAATTTTGTTTTTATTTTTTATTTTGGTTTATTTTGATTGCTTTATATTGTTTGGGTTTCTTTTATTCTATTCTATTTTATTTTATATTGTTTTATTTTAATTTATTTCATTTTGTTTAATTTTTTATTTTATTTCGGTTTATTTTTTTTTTATTTTACTTCATTTTAATTTATTTTGTTTTAATTTAATTTACTGTGGTTTATTTTGTGTGCGAGTATTTTATTCCTAATTTATTTTTGGATTTGATTTTAATTAATGTCTTTTGATCTTAATTTAAATTTATTTTTAATTAAATTAATTTTCTTCTTTATTTTGGTTTATTTGGTTTTACTTTATTTTGCTTTGATTTAATTAATTTAATGTTATTATATTTTAATTTATTTTTTTTTTAAACATATCATTTTATTTTTTATTTTTTTGTTTCAATTATATTTTTGACTTGATTGTAATGTATTTCTTTTGATTTAATTATTTTTATTGCTATTTTTTATTTACTGTTATTTTAAATTATTTTATTTTCTTCAGCATGATAAATACATTTGATAAAAATTCGTTGCCCTGGTTAAGACCAATCTTCTCTGAAATTTAGTGCATGTAAATACTACACAGGGTATACACTTATGTGTTTTATGTAGCCATTAGCGGCCTAGTGTGCCGCTCGTAAGTATTTGTGCCAACAATTACATAACCATCCCATAAAAATGGCATTCTTCTTCCCAGTGTGGCGTAAAACTTTTAATTCTGTTTTCTGTGGAATTTTTGCATACTTTTGAATTTAATTTATTTTCCTCTGGCGTTATAATCTTTCATATATTTTTAAATATGTTTATTTTAAAATAATAATTCATTTAGCTCCATTTGCATATTTCCACATGAAATTAAGTTGGCAGATATGTTTTCTTGGTAAATATGGGTATCCTAAGGCGTAGGAATTAAAGAAGAGAAATTAAATAAATAAATAAATAATAGAGAATATAACATATCACCTACTACGAGTACTATAACTTTTCCTTATAGAGTCTTACTAATTTTATAAATAAACCGAAAGGATCCAAGGGCTACTACCACCTCCTCATATAACAGTACACACAGTTACGCTAGGATTCATGTCGAGGCGACCGCAATTAGAAAATTTCTATAATTTTGATTTTTGTTCGGACCAAGCTTCACACACTGGATTTCCTTGTGACGCACTGCTGACCACTGACTATTGCAAGCGCCAAAATATATACTTTTAAGTAAAAATTCAGAAGAAGGCAAAGTAGTAAAAAATGATTCCAAATAGCAGAACCAGTTGTGGGTGAGGGGAACACTGAAAAATCAAAGAAAATTCAGGGATCAAAGGGCTTATTACAGCATCGGTAATAAAACAAATCAAAGCAAAAATCTGAAAAGAAGAATCTGATCAAAATCCACCTAAGCTTATTTATGGTTGTACCGGGCAAAGAAGTATCGGATAAACCACCTAGAAAAGTGGCATTAATTCATCAACAAAAGAGTTTGGAATTGTCTTATTTCGGTATTACTCTCACACATCGCGGGAGCGGTTACCTTTGTACGTAGCTTGAAAGGCCGACTCATAGCTCGCCTATACAAAGTTTACGATAATTGCTCTCAGACAGCATGAGTGCAAAACTAAATAAACATATTCTGCTGTGTATTTTGATTGAAGCTTCTCTTTTTTGTGTTTGTTTATGGAGATTCTTTGGAGGAGTGTACGTATTTTCGCTATGACAAGATAATGATCCGAGTCGATGTTAGGTTCTCCGAACGTATGCCCATCTCAGATCATTTGAGGATGCTTTATCCGACCGTTGCGCCGTAGATATATCTTTGCCTCTCCTGACGTTAAAATCACACAATTTCAATATCGTGGTGGTGCAGCGCTCGTAGTTACGTTCAAGGCGCTTATAAGCGGAACCTTTGGCCACATCGCACTTTTCTTCGTTGAAGCCTAGGACGCAAATCAGCAATGTGCTGAAACACTTTGTTTTAATGCAGACTGCGGCAAAAAGTTTGTCAGCAATAATGGCAGGACTTAGCCGTTCTTCCACCACGAATGCAACATCAAATTTGTATGACCACTGTAATGAATGCCGCAATGTTCCATCTTTTTCCGTTCTTATTTCATCTAAGCTACTTTTTTGACAACGGTGATGTCAGCCTTATTCTAAGGAGGGCAGGGTGCCGGTCTTTCATGTGGTTGAATCTTTGACACAGCCACGGAGAGCTCCTCTTATAACTGAAGCTCGTTTCTAAATGGACTGGATATTTTGTCTGAGACCGATAGTCATGCGCTCTTGACCCTATCCACCCATCATAACAGTCTTGAGGTCTCTTTTTATAGCAAATCAGATATTTTTTTAAGCCTCACAAATGTATTTACGCATATAAATAAAATCAAGTCTAAAGCTCATAGGAAAGCTCTACATTTATTTTCATAAAGCAAACCCGTCCACAATACGCACCGCTCCTCCGCTCACTTATGACAACTGAACAGTAGATGCGATGGACATACAGACATTTTTTTGTGATGAAAAAACACTGAGGGGGCGAGTAAAAGCAGATACGGTAGTTACTGAGTACACCACATTACACACACAGGCACAGAATAGCAATTAAATGGCATCCCGATCTGTATCTAGTTAGCAGCTATCCGCTTTGAATGGCGATTAAGTGTAAATACCACTCAAGGTGTGCGGATATACGGGATGTCAAATGGCTTGGCGCCCAACCAGCACACAGCACAGCGGAGGTCAGCGGAGTTGCCTTGTCAAGTATGTTTATTTAAACAAACGCCTATAAGGAAACACATGGCTGTTATGTACGAGTATGTGTTTGCTTGAGTACTTGCGTGTGAGTGTGTGGCACTTAAGAATCGACAAATATTCATAGAACCACAAAAGATATCGATTTATTGCTGGCAAATGAGTAAAAGTAAAGTGTTGAACGAAATCTGTGTGTGAAATTTGAATTTCATACGCATTCAATGATTTGGAAAATTTTCAATTTTCCTTTTTTGCCTTTTCATCGGTAAAAGTTTCCCAAAATCTTAACAATCCTCCTTAGAGTAGATTTTCATTCATTTACAAGTATTAAACACTTGAACTTCCTCTCTTCAATGCTCAATTATTCTGCCTTAGTGTATTTGATTTCCTTTGTCACTATCGATAATTATCAGTTTCCCTGTAATTGCTGCTGACATTTGTATTTATAAAGTTATTCGCACGACGCACAAAGGCTTGTTTATCTTCTGTTGGAGATCTCCGCTATGGTGAAACAATAAGATATGGCATCATAAATGTAAACTGACATTTGCAAGGATATCTTTGTGGTGAAACGCACATTCACACTTGCAAACCCGTTATGTATATGTAAGCTTATCAGTGCTGATATCTCAATGGAATAGATTATTTACAAGAATTTGCTAAGTAAAATTTATTGGTGTTGAAATGGGCGGTGTCTCAGCTGATTGAGGGTCTTTAAGCTATTCGAATAAGACGCCATTTGACTTATGGTAAGACAGAAGACAAGCGAAAATTTCTCTTCATGGCAGAAATGACTTTCTTTACCCTACCCAAATGAATAATCGTTCTTAATATTGAAAATCTTTTTAAAGAGAGTTGCCACCCGCCCAACATTTTCATTTTAATATCGTTATAAAATGTATGAAATATTCATTACGTTGTAGAAATCAAGTAAATATGTTTCAAAGAGACTTTATACTGAGAGAATTTTTAAACAGAGTTGCCACCTATTTCATTTCTTCATTAAAAAAATAAAAAAGAAAATAAAATTATTATAAGATTTACTACAGCACGGCAATCGTTTTAAATTTAAAAAATTTAAAAGGATCTAAAAATTCAAAACTTCAAATGGCGTTACCACCTCTTTAATTATTATTTTTTAAATACTTATAAAAAAATAAACAAATGTTTATTTTGAGTACCAAGTTGGGAAATTTTCAGGACTTGGCAATTAAAAACTATTTTGTGTCGAGTTGCCACCTTTTGAAAAAAAATACTTATGAAATTAATATATAATATATTACATTGCGGGATTCAAGTTCTGAAATTTAAGTTTAAAAAATATTTTGGAAGAGTTTTTTTATTTGAAAATATCTATAAAGTGATATGGAAATTTTCTTAAGGTGGATGACCAATGATTAAGGAAATAAAAATATTTTAGAGATATTAAGCATCTGTTTAATTCGTCTGCTTAAAATATCTGTACTAAATTCTCGTTGAGACTAGGAAATTTAATAGGACTTTATATGTCAAATAGTTTTGGAAAGAGCTGTTTAATTTTTGATTCAAAAAAAGAATGGTCGAGAAACTAATAATATTTCGCTTTTCAGCTTTCAAACTGATGGCAACTCTCCACAAGAACGGTTTCAGCCTTATTGGTATGGTTATATAAGTTGCCACATATTTTCAAAAAGTAAGTAAATTTTTTATAGTAGAATGTTTATAAAAAAAATGAGAAAACTTGTAAACATAAGGACATAACAAACGAAAAATATCTATTATCATTAAAAAAAATTGTTTTGGAAGTTGCCATCTCTTAAAACTTTGTTTTTTCAGATATTCATAAAATTAATAAAATATGTTTATATTACATTGTGGGTATGAAATTTGAAATAAATTAAAATTTGAAAGCTCTTTCGAGGAGGGTTGCCAATATCTGAGAAAAAAAATGTTTTTTAAAGAGATTTGATATTCGTTTACTATTAATGTTGAAAAGACTTTAAATTTCAAATAGCTTTAAGGAAAATTACCAGATTTTGCATATTTCCTAAAGGTAACTAAACTAAAAAAATCTTTACTAGAAAATATTAAATTAAAATTGTTTTTCTTGTGATTTTGAAGCTCAGTAATTTGACTTTTTAATTAAAAAAAAAAACAGTTTTCTTTGCGAAAAAATTAGCTTCATTTTTGCCCGCATTAGCTTGACTTTAACTTTTTTCTGAGCTAAGATTTCTTTCCGTATTTTTGTACGACTAAAATACCTAAAATACCAAACGCAAATTCACTCTGTTGAATTCACTCGTTAAATCCAGGAATAACACGCACCTGGAAAAATCTAATCACCACACCGTTGTCGAACTGCATGGTCCCTTGTCATGCGTAATTCGAGCTGTCAATTGCAAAATCTCAAAGATAAGTCATAAAAGTACACATCAGCTCGTTGTGGAGTGGACAATTACGACGCAAGTGTATAATCGTGCTGATGATCCCGAATTCAATTCACTCAACTTTTTATTTGGACAAGAAAACTGTCATCATCTCTTTGCTTTTTTTAACCGTAGCGGAAAGTGTTAGTCTCAGTTTTGGTCACTTGGTTTGTGCCTTGCTTCGCTTTTATGGCAGTAATGTGGCCCATTGTTTGTTGGTGGTGTTTAGAAAATTACTCAATTTTTTTAAGGAGCACACGTAGAATGAAGTTTCCAAAAAAAAAATCGAACTATTTTCCATTTTTCGGTAAATTGCACCCTTAAAAATAACATATTAAAATTTCAAATAGATAATCGATGATATCTCAAATAGTTCTTGAGTTATAGCAATTCAAAGAGCAGCAGAGAGTCTCATTAGCTACGAGTGAAAACGATCATTTTATACGCGCTTACCTCGAAACAGCATTTTCCGAATATGCTGAAGTGATTACTGAAAAACAAATGATCCTATCACTATCGGAATTTTTTACATGTTCTATTTATAGTTCTCCGTACGATGACCTATCGATTTTTGATCTGATAAAAAAATCGAATTTTGGCTGGCCAAAAACGACCAATATTTTGGGTAAAATTCAAATATTTTTTTTAAAACGCCGCCATATTGTCAGTTTTGATTTTTTTTATCGTAGGTCATTCTACAGACAATATTATGTAGTTTAACGAGATTTTTTTTTTAGATTTCATCCACGGAGAAGGCCGGAATCACTGCAGCAGTGAAGGACCTTTTTTTCGCGCCGTTGGAGATCGACTATAACTTAAAAATTACTTAATTTTTTTCCTCAAAAATTTCACTGTATATTCTTGAAACATGTATAAATATGTTCCTAAAATTTTAAAATAATTGATAAAGTTTTTTTTTAATAAAAATGCCCAAAAATCACCTTTTTTCTAGTCCATTACACTTGTATGAGCTGAAATATTACCATTAAAAATATTTTGGTGCATTCATGTATTGCTTAGGGAATTATTTTTTTTTTTTTCGACTGTAAATTATCTTAATTTTTGTATTTGTGATATAGAAAATAGTTAAGGTGCTGTAATCGATGTTGCATTTTTGGTTTTCGTTAATATTCCCCAATTAAGTGTGGTACAATTGGTGCAGAATTTTATTATGGTGGATGTTGTAGTAATTTTATGAATTAAAACCGTATTCATATATAAATGTGCATACAGATGTAACACACAAAATTTTGCCATACAGACGTACTCCTTAACATTTTCTACTTAAATTAATAAATGTCATAGATAAAAAAAAATGTGGTTTGAAAAGAAGGTAAGAATCTACCCAGGACTCAAACCCATCCACAAGAACATCATTATAAAGGACAATGCATAGATACCCGTACACACGCGCACTGGTATGAACATACATACATACGCAAGCATATCGAAGGCTAGAACGCATGAAAACTCAGAGAAGAGAGTAGCTTTTCTCCGCACCGACCTTCTCGTAGAATTTCTGCTATACTAACCCTTGGTTTTGACATTCTCGTTTATCCTTTTTAGTTTTTAATTGCTTATGAACGAGTGCATGCGTAGGTAAGAATAAGAAATTTCCAATTTTTAATTTTAAATCTCTTTGCCTGTGCTTGACTTTTGTTTTACGCGCATAGTCCACGTGTGCGAAAGAAAGAAAAGGAGAAGAAGAGAAAGAATTCTAACAATAAAGCATAAAACTGGCATAAGTAATTATTTATCACTACAACAGTAATCAAGTGCCGTAAAAATTATGTTTATATGAAACAAACTGTGTGGCCAATAAATTCTTGATTGCAAACAAAGTCAAGGAAATTTCATAAAATATTTCATAAATACAAATTTACGGTAAAGACCATTACTTATTATGCCTTGAAAAGCGCAGTTATACCAAAGAAAAAGTCTAATAAAAAATTTATGAAAAACAGATCACACAGCCAGACATTAAAGTGAGGAACTCAGCTTAGTGGCACCAATGGTAGGGTCAAGTTAGAGAGAGAAGTAGACGAAGATTTTGGAACGTGCATACATTAACACTTATCATCTACATACCGCTTTGAGTGCACACGCACAAATACACACAGTCTCTCTCTCTATATCTCTCTCTGTATCTACCTCTTTCTGAATTTTATACACATTCTTTGCTGCGAAGCTCACTAATTTCACATTTCCTGGCAGCTTTGCCTTTTAATTGTTGGCAACTTCTTGGAAAAATGCCAAGGAAATTAATTTATTTGTTGCCATTTGGTCATATAAAAAACTATAAAATGCCAAATGAACACAATACAATGCACCATGTTGCCTGCTTACATGTATATGTATGTCTGTGTGTGCCTGTGTGTGAGTGCAACGAGCGGCGACTATAAAAAGCAAATTACGGAAGTAGAAAGTGAAAAGTAATTAGGAACTCATTGCGGTGACACTTGGCGCCGAAGTCGTTGGACATGCCGGTAAATATGTACATACATATGTACACGCTCACATAGAAATATTTGAATGTGGATTTGAACATATTTGCCAATAATGGTTTATGTATTTCCCTTTAGAAAGTGAAAGAAGATTTTATAAAATAACACAAAATTATTTTTAATAAAATTAAACAAAAAATTAAAAAAAAAAGTTATTTTAATAAAATAAAATAAAACAGAAAACAAATAAATTAAATAGTATAAAAAATAAAAATAAAATTTTAAGCTAAAATTTAATTGAAATAAAATATAATGAAATGATATAAAATAAATTAACACAAACAAATAAATTAAACTAAAACAAAATAAATAAATCGATAAATGAAGTAAGTTAATTTAAAAATTTTAAAAACAAAAAACATAATTAATTAATTATAAAGAGCATAAATAAATAAAAATAAATTATTTAAATAAAATTAGAAAGGCTAAAAAAAATTAAAAATAACCAAAAAAAAACCAAATAAATGAAATGAAACAAAGTCAAAACGTAAAATTGAAAGAAAAATTTAATTTAAAAAAACAATCAAGACTAAAAAAAAAAAATAAATGACATGTATTTAATTTTGATAAAGTTGAATCGAAAATAAAAATAAAATAAATTAGAATGAAAAAAATTACAATAAAATAAAACAAAACTGAAATAAAATTCATTAAATAAAATCAAAGAAAAAGCAAAATAAAAAAATTTTATTTTATACACTAAATTTTAACATAAAATATAATAAACAAAACAAAGTAAAACAAACTAGTATATAATAAAATAATATTATATAAATAAATATATATAAAATAAAATACAGTAAAATAAAATAAAATCATATGAAATAAAGTAGAGTAAAATAAAATAAAAAAAAATTAATTAGGTTTAATAAAATAAAATAAACCGAAAAAATTAAATTCAATTAAAAAAAAATTTAATTAAGTTAAACAAAATAAAATAAATTGATATATAATCAAGTAACATAATATATTATGCTATTATATAAAATAAAATAAAAAAAGAAAATAAACATAAAATAAAATAAAATAAAATAAAATAAAATAAAATAAAATAAAATAAAATAAAATAAAATAAAATAAAATAAAATAAAATAAAATAAAATAAA